TGTGTGTATGGATTGTGATAAGAGTTGTATGAGCCCCTAATAAAATGATTTTTAAAACATTAAAAAAAAAAAAGAAAAGAAAAAAACTTGCATGTGAATGTTCATAAGAGGCATTACTCACAATAGTCTCAAAGTGAAAACAATCCACATGCTCATCAACTGATGCATGAATAATTACTGATGCATGAATAATTACATGTGGTATTGTCCATAAAATGGAATACTGCTCGGCCATGAACATGGAGCACTGACACATGCTGCAGCACGTAGGAACCACAACACCATTACACAATGGGAGAGAAGCCAATTACAAAAGACCATGTATGGTATGATTCCACTTAGAGTCCAAGTCCAGAACAGGCAAATCTAGGAGGAGAAGGTAGCGCAAGGGGTTGCCTAGTGTTAAGGGGACTGAGGGGACCTCTTTTTGCTCTGAAGACAATGTTTTAGAAGCGATGATTGTACCGTGATCTAACTCTGTGACCATATCAAAGAATTGGATTGTACTTCTTTAATGAGCTGCACAGGATGTGAGTATCTTAGTAAAAGCTGCTTTAAAAAACAACAAACCAACAGCTAGACCCTCTTCCAGATTCTGACTTAACTGGTCAGAAGGAGAGTCTTGCCAATAAGATTTTAAAAGTTCCCCCAGGTGACCTCACTGGACAACCCAAGTTAAGTCTCTGACCCAAGGAGGAGGGGGAAACGAAGCAAACTACCCATACCTCCTGGGGGTCCACTACACAGTAGTGGTACAGATACTGGTCCACGTAGAGTCCCGAAACTGCAGGTGTGTAAAACTGGTTGCAGAGAGCGTATATCTGAGAACCGTACATCGATCCAGAAGACTGAGCCGTGGGGTTCACTCCCATGATGTAGACAATTGTGGCGATAAACATCATGACGGTCAGGATCGCACTTGCTATGATCACGGCCAAGTAATACGTTCTTGTTCTGGATATTTCCGACCTTATAACGCTGGTCACAAATATCACCAATGTGGCGATGAAAGAAAAGGCGGCCATGGCCAGCATGAAGCCCTTGGCCGATCTCGGATCAGTGTAGCCCCCACCGTAGCCATAGTTGTAGCCATAAGAATAGCCACTCCCGAAGCCACCAAAGCCACTTCCTCCATAGGGGTAGCCTATGCCACCTCCCAGTAAGCCATTTCCATAGCCTCTGTCCCAGGCAAGGGTGGAGGCAACACAGGCAAATATGGCGATGCACATCACAATGACGAGCATGGAGAGAATCCGGATCACGCCTGGCGGGGAGGTCCATTTGTAGAAGTGAAGGATTTCATCCTCTGGGTAGAAAGAATATGCTGGCTGAGAGAGCATGGGCCGGTTGTGCATCTCTCCGCCATACATGTCATTGCTTGGTGCGTAATGATTCGGTTTGCTGAAAGAAACATAACAGCAATTTCTGGTCAGCACTTCTCAGTGGTTTTAAACAGAAAGCAAGTATGAAGTATCAGGACCAATTTAAACCACTGGCCAATGAAGCCATTGCTAGCACTGGTCCACTAAGGACAGTGATAAAGTCTGTGCCTCCGAGTTACTCGGGTGGTTCGTCACAACACAGACAACTGGCCCACGTGCCACTGATGGAGACGTGTCCAGATGATGCTGGTTTCGTCACACAACAGAGCAGGGGTTCTCCAAGTGAGCTGCTGCACGTTGGCTATCTGGAGATGCGTGACGCCTCAGAACACTCTATACCAGATGAATCATTTCTGGGGACAGAACTCGGGCAGTCCAAAACACGAAGCCTTTTGTCTATGAGACTTACAATCAGTGCATTTAGATAGGAGGGCATTTATACTGCCCTACCTGCGGTCATAAGGTCCTGGTTAGTGCAGGAATTGGTCTAAGTATGAAAAATATTATAATCAGTGAAAAGAAGCAGCCAACCATAGAAGACCGTAGATTGCCTGTCTCCATTTGAAATGAAATGCCCAGATGGAGACCAAAAGTAGACCGATGGTACCCCAGGGCTGGGGAGAAACGGGAACTAACTGCTAAAGGGTGCAAGTTGTCTTTCTGGGGTGATAAAAATACTCTAAACACCACTGGGATGTACACTCTCAATGAGTAAATGGTAAGATTTGTAAATTCTATCTAAAGAAAGATGGGGGGGGGTGATGACAATGTCACAAATGGCTGTCTAAGCAAGGAACTGACAATAGAAGGAACACACATCGCTACTAAACCTAGATTAGCCCTTGAAACAAGCACAAGACACCTGGGACACCCCAGGGCTTCTGCAGAGGGAAGACTATCATCCTGAAGTTAAGGGTCAGGGTGAACTTGCTTCTCATTGTCAACCCTTTGGTACAACTTCTCAATGCCAGAATCGATGCTGACTCCTAGCAACCCTATAGCACAGGGTAGAACTGCCCTTGTGAGTTTTCAAGACTATAACTCTTTCCAGGAGTAAACAGTCCAGCTTTCTCCTGCCAAGGGACAGGTGATTTCAAACTGTTGACCTTGCACGTAACCACCATACCACCAGGGTTCCTCCTGGTACAACTCAGAAGTGCACAAATTGTTTTATTTTAAAAAGCAAAACATTTAACAGATAGAAGTTCCAGCTTTATACATTTTTAAATACATGATACTTAAAAAATAATAATCAAAAGCATGATTTACTTACAATTCATCAGGTCTGTAAGGAGGTGGACTTTCAAGAGGTCTTGATGACATGGCTGATGTCACTGGTCACCAGAGCTTTCCGTTGAGCAATACCTGGTGGCTCCCAAGATAAGCCAATCTAAGCAAGAGAAGTAGGTAGGGTGAAGGCATTACCACTGGGTTCGGAGTTTCCTTACATCATCAGCAAGAAAGCCGAGATACCAATCTCTGAGTAATCACTAGCTGTGTGGTTACTTCTGTCTGCTCTCTGGCTATGTTCACATGCCACCCCTAACAGGAGCCATCCCTCTAAGCCGCTGGCATCGGGTTCTGCACATCACTGCCACAAAAACACCTGTGAACCGTGAAAATGGAAGCTAGCTAGAGTCGTGATCATGGCACATAGCTTTTCCAGCAGAGGTAAACGAGCTTTTAAATGGTCACTTCAAGGAATAGGAAGATGTGTGCGGAAAACAACATATCTCAGGTTTCTTCCACGTCCCATACCTTTTCAAGTACATGCAACAATGAGAAAGGTAGGTCCCTCGCCCCTCAATGGCAACGCGGGCATGATATGATTGTGCATCTCCATCGACGGCTGGTGGAACTGTGGGCATTTTTTCTTATTTCCTTTTCCAAGTCTTCCAAGTGAGCATTAGATTTATGAAAGGAGCAAAAAACGTGAAACAAACACTGAATTCGGAATAGTGGAGTGATTTTGTTCTCAATTGCTCAGAGCAACAAGTCCCCTGACCATCTGAGAGGCAACTTCACTCAATCAGCAAGGGCTCATTAAGCCCGCGGCAGAGCGAGTGTCTCCAGAAGGGCACACGCTGTGGGGAAAGGAAGTGAACCAGGCCAAGAGTAGTGTTTCGGACTAAACCACGAGCGAGAGCCTTTTCAGGGAGCCATAAAGGCAAGCGGAGGAGATCCAAGCTGTGAAGCGAGGGTCCTGGAATAAAGAGGAGGAGGGCAATCCAGGTTAAGCGAAGTGGGCTTCTGGGGCAGTAAGGGTGGGGGTGGGGGCTGGGGCTACGCTACAATTGTCTCATCTTTTGAAATAAGGCTACGTAGGTTGGGATGTGGTGAAAGACAGAGGGCTTCAGCCTAGTGTGCGCTCCCACAGCAGGGAAGGCATAAAGAAGCTTGATTCAGACCAGATTCAAAGGACAAAGGGGATGAGGTAGGAAAGGGCACCTGGAGTAGGCAGCAGGGACCCCACATGGGCAGTGCAGTGGTGAAGGATGAGCTCAAGAGACAGGGAGAAGGAAAACGAACCCTCATGAGCCACCTACCATGTGCTAGGTGCTTTACCTAAAATTCTCCTTTCATCCTCAAAGTCACTGTACAGGGCGCAGCTGGTCAGAGATGGCCACCTGCTCAAGGTCACGAGGAGGAGACTACTGCCACTGAGCTGCAATCTGACTGCTGAAGATGCCCTGTGCCTTCCACTACCACAATTATATGCCAGGAATTCCCTTGGGGGCACAGGCAGGCCTGGGGCTATGAACATCCAGGATTAGTGAATCAGCCCTTTTATGTTATAAGAACTTCTCCTCACGATGAAATGATTGAACCAAACCACACTCAAAACAAACTGATCACAATCACCATCACTTCTTGCACATGCTGCTTTTTAAAATCACTGAAAAGCCTTCCGGCTTATTTCTGCAATAAAACACTGCCATTAATTACAACATATTGTCATCAGTACTCGATATGCTCACACACCTCACCCAAGAGAATCAATCCCAGCCATCACATTCCAAAAATCCAAACTCACTGCTACGGGAGTCAATTCTGACTCGAAGTGACCCTTTAAGACAGGGCAGAACTTCCCACGTGTTTCCGAGACTACATCTTTGGGGGAGTAGACAGCCTCATCTTTCTCTTAATGAGCAACTGGTGGATTCGAATCACTGACCTTGAGGTTGGCAACACAATGCCTAGCCCACTATAACAGCAAGTCCCGGCTGTCACGTCAGGGATGAGTTAATGAAATGTTTGACCAACACGGCCCAAGAAAGATGATACAAGTATCCAAATGGCCCTCGACAGAAAAAGGTCCCCCACCCTCTATTGCATATATAGTTTCCCAGGTCATAAATCTTTCCAGGAGCAGACAGCCCTCTCTTTCACCCAAGGAGAGGCTGTAGGGTTGGACCTCTGGCCTGTGGTTAGCACGAGCAGAGCTGCCAGGGCGCCTCTTTTTTTCTTTTTTGGCAGTAAAGTCAAGCTAAGTCAGAACCAACAGTGCAGTGAATTTTTTTTCAAACAGTTTTATTGGCATATAATTCACATCCATACAATTCACTAGTTCAATCACCTCGAGAAGAGTTGTACAATCTTCACCACAATCAGTTTTAGAATGTTTTCTTCATTCTTGTACTCATTGTTATGATTTTCCCCACCCCACCCCACCCCACGGAGCCAAGGAATCATTAACCTAGTTATTGTCTCTAGAGATTTACCTATGCTGGCTTTCACATACTAAGTAAAACAGATAAGAGCCTCAATCTAAAAGAAAGCAGAAATTACTTAAAAACGAGAACAAATTTAAATGGATTATAATGGAGATCAAATAATAGGATGCTACTGGAGACACAGTGTGGGAATTGCACCTGATCTGACCCCAACACACCAAGGAAAAACACTAAGGGTGTGCAACAGAAAAGCAAGGGGAGCAGGGCAAGGAAGTCCTCAGGGAATACCAAAAACGGACTTTGGGGCCAGGGTGTGGCACCCCATCAGACTCCACTGGAAACACTCCTAGAGGTCAACAAACAGTTCTTGAACTATTTACAGGCTTTTCTCTTTTTTGTCATTGGTTTGTTGTTTTTTCTTTTCTTTTCTTGCTTTGCCTTGTTTTTATGCATATTATTATCTCTGCAGGTCTAACTAGATAAGATAGGTGGGATAAACTGGAGGAGAAAGGGACCAGAGATGGAGGTGAGGGAAAGGAAATGGTGTTAACAAACCCAGGGACAAGGGAACAAGTGATCGGAAATCAGTGGCGAGAAGGGTGTAAGAGGCCTGGTAGGGCTTGATCAATTGTTCGA